AAGAACCCAACAATCTTCTCAAAACTATATCAATAATCTCAAGTTTTAGAGAGATAATACTATCACTCATTTTGAGTGATAGTTTCCATCACATCAAGCAAACAATGCGTGTATTGTTTGTGCAGAAATTTCAAAAAAACAATGCGTTGTGGACAATACATGCATTGTAACTATCTCAACCAAACAATCACCAAAACCAAACGACCCCTTAAAGGACAAAGTGCATCTTGGAATACTTTTTTAAGCAAAATATAAGGAATCGTTTGGTTTTATATAGTAAATAGATGCATTGTCATCAATGCATGCATAATAATATACATGTATATAAGAAAATTGGTGTATTGTAGTTTGCGTCGTTTGGTTTATGTGATAGTTATTGTGTTGTTTAAATAAGTTATATTACTTTTTGGATGAAATGTCACTTTTACCCTTTGTTTGTAATATAAAAAAGCAAGACGCATAAAAAGGTAGGGACAAAGTTGGAAGAAAAAAACAGACAACAATCTCAATCAAATAATCTCAACAAAAACTTGAGATTTAACTATCACTCATTTTGAGTGATAGTTTGTGTCACATCAAGCAAACTTTGCATGTATTCTTTGTGCAGAAAAAAAAAGATGCATTATGAACAATGCATATATTGTAACTATCTCAACCAAACAATCACCAAAACCAAACGACCCGTAAATACATAACCAATTAACCATAAGTCTATACCTTTTGATATTTTTGTCGAATATAGTCTTTTTTTAAGGGTAAATGCCACATTTGGTCACTGAGATTACTAAATCATGTCATGTTTAGTCACTAGAAAAAATTAATATCAATTTTGATCACTCGAATTACTGAAACATTTCACATTTAGTCACTCTCCCATTAGTTTTCGTCCAACTCCATTAACGGAGTTCGAAGGAGGCTAACGGATAGTGATTAAATGTGACATGTTTCAGTAATTCGAGTGACATTCATAAAAAAAAAGTAATTCGAGTGACCGGCATTGGACGGAGGCTAACGGTAGAGTGACTAAATATGACCTGTTTTAGTAATTCGAGTGATCAAAATTGATATTAATTTTTCTAGTGACTATACATAATACTATTTAGTAATTTTAGTGGCCAAGACTTTTTTTTAATAATGATAAATATAGTAATTTCATGAGCCCAAAACAAATTCTAATGAGGGATGGGAACGTGTTAAGGTCCATGAACGATAATTGGGCCAGTCAAACTGTGATCTGGCCCATGGCAAGCAAGTCACCGTCCTCCTGGTATGACTTTTTCAATTCGACAAAATTGATAATAAAATTTGTTTTAGCTAGGTAACGGTACTAGCTCATTGCTCGGCCCTTGGCCGGATGTAGTCTCGGAAATTGACTCTTTGATTGTAACTGATGTTACTCGTTAACATGTATGTGGTGATAACCGGAGGTAGGTCAACAATACCATAATAATATGATGGAAAGTCATTATCCCATTGCATTACAAAAGAAACAGTAAAACATAAACACTATAATAGACAATCTAAACCAAGCCATTAGCCTTCAATATAGCCACTATTGCCATGCACCATGATGCCCCTAGAGTGAACATGAAAAAACTAAAGGAATACTTACCTGACTCCAACTATCGATGGTAAAAATGGAAGTCACCAAGAGATTTCATAAGAAAAATCCAATATAGATTGCCCTTAGACCAAAAACCACAGTGATACAAAATGCGATGAATCTCTGGCTGAGAAAACAAAAACCAACAATGTCTAAATCAACTCGATGGAATGCGTCGGTCAGTTTTTTCTGATAAATAGTTTTGTTAATTAAAATGACAGGAAAAAAAGAAATTCAAAGCATGCAATCTGCTGTCAATATACCTCCCCATTATTACGATTCTTATCATTCTCTACAACAAACACACTGATTCGTCCACTCTTACTCCTTTTTCGTGGAAGCTACATGACATTTTGCATCATTGCACATTAATTCAAACTACCATTCCTTGCTGCAATTTATGGCTTGGGATAATATCACTTCAGTCATAATACAAATTTACATGAAATGAAAGAAATGATCATTATAATAGTCTTGTAAAATTTAGAGTACCAATGGCGATTCCTCTCTTCTCCTCGGTGGCTTCTGCAATAAAATGAGATTGATGACTATCTCTACCAACGTATTTTATACGATCATTGTATGACCTTTTGTATAAACCATTTATGTCTCACACATTTTCGCATCACAACTCCAAGAGCTAACTTGTTGGGGTTCTCTTCTAGGTAAGCAACTCGTATCAACATCATGCATGAAAACAAAAATTGCTTTGGTTGAGATACTATAAGGATCTTGTGATGCGCGAAGAAGGCTAAACCGTTTCCTAGACATTGTCAACCCCCAATCAATTTGATGTAAGTCATTGCTCTCTTACCATCTAAATTAAATAGGAAGCTCAGGTTGACCACTTTTATAGCTTCGCTTGACAATTTCTTAGAGGAGATAAAATCACGATTCACAATTCTAGAACAACCACCTCAGATAATACAATCTTATGGAAACAACACTAATGAAGCACCCAAATTACAATTCCGTACATGTTTTCTATGAGGGTGTGCATGTGCAAATTAAGAAAAATAATGATTAAGGAGAGAGCTTACTTGGCACCCGGCTTTGAGGAGCAAAAATCCCTTCAATAAATTCCAGGTGGAGATGTCCAATCGATCGGGTCTAGACATGCGTATATATCAACATGCTATACTAAAAACACAAAGAGTTCGGTTTGTCCTTCCCATGACAACATATTCTCACAATGTATTTATTCCTTGCAGAGAGAATGATATCAAACCATCTTTTATCTGCTCCAATTATGGTTATCACTCGTATTTTTTATATTGTAGTAATTAGAACACCACTTTTAAATCTGGAAGCAAGTGACACTGTCACAAAACATCATATTGTAAATACTTATATGCAATCATGAGGTTATTCCACTCAAAAGAAACCATGTTTTATATGTTGAAGATTAGCATTATAGCTTGAATAGTTTAATTTGGAAATGATCTCAACTCTTACATATAAATTTTGTGTAAAAGTGTTATGATTGAAGCTATTCCCTATGTTAACGCTAATCAGAATAGTCATTGTTTACTGAAAACTAACCACAAAAACATTTCAAATCGGAAAAATGATGATACTAAACAGGGGTATCATAACAAAAGCAACAAAAAGTATAGCTATTTATCTTTAATCATCTCAAAAGTCAACGTAGAAGATCAGCCATATGAACTGATGTTAAGAGATCACACATTGCTCTCAAAGAAACTAAATAACCCATCATTCAGCTCTCCAAGCAAGAAGACTCAACCTTTCGATATTTACCCCTCTGAAAATTGCTTTGCATAACAGTATAGGTGGAGAAGGTTAGGCGGTTGTCGAGTCCGATTTAAAGGTTTGGAGAGACGACAATGGTTGAGTGTTTAGTAGGCCGGGAGCCCGGGACACTGTTTATCTTTAATCAACTCAAAAGTCAACCTAGAAGATCAACCTAGAAGATCAACCAAATGAACTGATGTTAAGAGATCACTCATTACTGTCAAAGAAGCTAAACAATCCACCAGTAAGCTCTCCAAGAACACTCAAACTTTCCATATTTACCCCTCCGAAAATTGCTTTGCGTAACAATATAGGTTGAGGAGGTCAGGCGGTTGTTGAGTCCAGTGGGAAGGTTTGGAGAGACGGCGATGGTTGAGCGTTTAGTAGGCCGGGACACCATTTAAACTCATTGACATTAGTTGCGTCTTTTCAATCCGCATTCGACAAACCAGCATCACTCAACCTTTCCATATTTAACCATCTTTTAAAGACACATGTGCCCCATATTAAATCAAAGCTTTTATGTTCAAAAATATTGTTGCTTTATGGTAGTTATATTATTTAAGTCCATGTCAAGATTTTTGCATCGCTTCTACACATTCAATATTGCAATTCGATGTCCAATATTTTCACCAATGACATTAGGCTTGTGATTTTAAAATTATTCTCCTTTTATAAGATAAATAGAAATAGAAATAATTATTAAATTTGAATTAAAATAATCAAAGTATGAGAATAGAAGTATCAAATACCAAAAATATATTTAGGGTAGAGTTAGTGGCTTAGCTAACTATGACGAAAATTCCTATGATTTTCCAGATTTATACTTTCTGTATGTTTTTAATTTAAAAAGTTTAAACAAATTTTTTTAGTGTAACTGATTATGTTTCTTGTCTTTTCTCAAAGAGATCACGATTCAAATCCCATCACCAATGTATTTTTCCTGTAAATAAGAAAATAATAAATGAGTGTGAAGACGAATCTACCCTTCCTAATTATGCTATGGATGCAAGGATTTTCTAATGGGGGAAACACCTTTCCCATTTCACTATTATATTAGGTTTAGCGAAAGTAACCCGGGTGGTTGAGCTTTTAGTGGGTCGGATACTATTTGGGCCCGTTTACATTAGTAGCGCCTTTTCCATCCGCGTTGGGCAAACCAACAACACTCAATCTTTCCATATTTACCCTTCTAAATTGCTCTAGCGTAACAATAGAGGCAGAGGAGGTTAGCCGGTTGTTGAGTCTAACGGAAAGTTTGGAGAGACGTCGATGGTTGAGCGTATAGTGGGTCGGGGCACTAATTGGGCTCATTTACATTAGTAGTGTCTTTTCCATCCGCGTTCGGCAAACCAACATCACTTAACCTTTCCATATTTACCCCTCTCTTAAAGACACATGTGCCCCATATTCACTCAAAAGTTTTGTGTTTAAAAATATTGTTACTTTATGGAAGTTATAACAATTAAGTTTATGTTAAGAATTCTACATCGCTTCTAGACATTCAAGAATGCAATTCGGTATGCAATATTTGAATAAATGACATTTCGGTTGCTAACCATGGTGGAAAAGTCCTATGATTTTTTAGATTTAAGCTTCCTGTATGTTTTTTTATTGGAAAAGGTCACACAAATGTGTTTATTGTAACTGGTTATGTTTCTTATCTTTGTTCAAAGAGACCACGGTTCAAATCTCATTAATGATGTATTTTTTTTCTGTAAATAAGAAGTTAATAAACAACTGTGAAGACGAATCTACCCTTCCTACTTTCACTCTGGATGCATTAAGAAGTTAATAAATAACTGTGAAGACGAATCTACCCTTCCTACTTTTACTCTAGATGCAGGAAATTTGAAATGGGACTTCAAGTTTTCTCATTTGTCTTTTATTTATTGTGTAGATTGAATAAATGGTTTGTAACCCAAATTTTTTTTTTGACAAAAGATAATCATATATTGATCAAAAAAATAGGTAACTACATCGTGGAAGAAAGCCATGCCAGGAAATCAAAAGAACGACTCGTAGTCGGGTACAAAGAGAGGGCTTTACGAGCCACCGAATGGGCTACCCTATTACTACTCCGACCTACAAATCGAACCCTAAAACCAGCAGAGCTATGAAAATATTGTTGAAGTTCCTCCAAAACAGCTCTGATCCGGTTATCTCTGGCATCCGCACGATTGATTTTATCAATAATAACCTTGGCATCACCTTCAAATTGGACCTCCGAGAGGCCTAGCTCCAGGCACCACCAAACTGCCTCCCGAAGGACAAGCAATTCTACCACCATCGGATCATCCATGCCAGGAAAACAAACCCCTTTCACCAGCCAAACATACCTAGTAGGAGTAAAAAGAACCACCCCACCAGCCGAATGAGATCCTCTCCAAACCGCCCCATCCCACATACACACCACCCTGTTCCCCCCACCTAGACCCATGAGGTTCGACTTAGAGGGTTCGGCTGCAAGGGGAGACAATCCTGGGCTAGTGTTAATTGGGAGCCGGATCCACTCCTCATACTGTTGCTGAAACTGACGCATCAAGACCGGGAACCCAAACTGCTTGCCTTCAAAGACAACCCAGTTCCGTGACCGCCAAATCCGCCAAAGGAGAGCAACCAAAGCCATAAACAGAGGAGGCTGGGGAATCAACGCCATTAATCTTTTCAGAAACAAAGGGAAAGTATGGCGAGGGAGCCCCTCCCCTAAGTAAGCCAGTCCAGAATAATCCCAAAAGGCCCGAGCAACTAGGCAATCTAAGAATAAATGCTCCAAAGTTTCTGCACTGTCCCAGCACACCGGCACCTGGGGAGCATCGGAACCTGCTTACCAATAAGGGCTTCCGTAGCTTTGGGGAAATTTTGATAAAAAAATAATAATGCGGTCACTATATTCGATAATGATTTGTGAGCCTTTAAGCCCATGGCTTTGGCATGGAGCACCAATCAATTATATCACTTAATATTTGGTCACTCGTCCTAATAACTTGTGCACTAGTATAATGTTTTTAGATACAATTTCAATAAAAAAATTATTATCCGTTGATATTCATAAATATCCCAAACCTGATATGATATACTAATATCAATAGAGTTTTGGTTTATTATTTGTTCATTTCAAAAAAAATTTGGTAGAAATTTGTTCATTTCATTGATATTAGAATAGGATGTCAAGTTTCAACGGGATAGTTTATATAATTAGTATTTATATTCATATCAATGAAATGAATAAATAGTGAACCAAAACTCTATTGATATTAGCATATCATATCATGTTTTGGATATCTATGAATATCAACGGATAATAATTTTTTGATTGAAATTGTATCTAAAAACATTATACTAGTGCACAAGTTATTACGACGAGTGACCAAATATTAAGAATCTTTTTAAAAAATAAATTTATTAAGGTGTTACATGCATTACAAAAATCGAATAAGTTGAGAGAGAATAATATTAACATTTCATGGTATTTGATAATTCAATTCAGTAATAAGAAAATCATGTTTGTTCATTATTGATAATATTTTAGTTTAAATTTTATCCATGCCAACCGATATTTCAAGTTTTATGTTGTTTAATAAGATGAGATTCCGGGTCCTAATAAAAAACTTGAGATGGTGGGGGAATTGTGAGGTTTTGGTCATGAAATGTGTACATCGAATTAAAACACGAGATTCCCATATGGGGAAAAGAAAACAAGACAAGAAACAAATACATCTGGTCTGGGGTTAGCACTTAGCACCAAGTCACTGACCAACAAGCTCAGTTAGCACACCATTTTGATTTTTTTTAAATAAATTGGACTATGGATCTTGACTTCTTAAGATCACGTTCCTGGACTTCCTTGCAACTGCGAAACACCTGAAAACAATTACAAACCCTAACGTTAAAATAACACTAAAATAACCATAAAAAATAACACTAATAATAATAATAATTAATTATACATCATCACACACACAAAAAAAAAAATACTAATAATAATTAAACGAAAAGGAAATATCCTTTTAGGCTGGCTGGCTGGCGATGGTCCAGCTCGGTGGCCGCACCTTCACTGCATCTCCTCGCCTGACGCCGATCCCAAACTCATCACTTCCTTTACTTTAATTTTCAGCTCGCGCCCAGCAAACTTGTACTCGTTAACATTTCTTTCTTTATGTCTAATGGATGATTTGGTTGTATTTGGAAGCAGTTCTAAAGATAACAAGTGGTATACCAATGAATACAAAGGACCAACTAGATAGGTTGCGGCCGAGCTCTGCAACGGTTCGAGATTTCTTTTATTTGTCTTTGTTGGTTAGTCGTTTGTGTGTTATTTGGTTTTAATGAGTAAAATCTAAAATCGTTATGCTTGCTTTTATGACTTATTTACAAAAATGAGTGTGTATATGCTATACGTCTACAAACTACAATCATTACTTGTCATCCCTATTTCTATCAAATGAACAAAATGAAAAAATGTTTAATAAAATTAGGGATGTCAACGAATTGAGGCGGGGACGGATAGTGCACATTCATTACCCTATTAAAAATAGTTCGAGTTTTACCCATACCCACACATGAATTGGGTAGAAAATTAAAATCATGTCCATATCCGATGTTTCGTGTATTCATGGTTATCCATGGGTAATAATTTTTTTTATAACTCTAGTAAACATGACATTACATAAGTGAAAAGTACTACAATAAATCATTCAAAATGAAGAATATACAGTAAAAAACATAATTCATAAAATATATTATATATGTATAATAAATATAGAAAAATATTGACTCTTTCTAGACAAAACATATATGCATAATGTGTATTATCGGCAGGTTTGGGTTGGAGAGTGAGAAAACCATACACATCCATTACCCACAAGGATTTGATTGTACCCATAACCACTTAAAATCTTTCATATTCGAGTTTTACCCTACCCGATTGGGTTGGATTCAAATGGATATCTACATTTATAGATATTTTTCTTATCCCTAGTAGAAATGATGATATAGCATCATTAGAAGTTCAGAACTCTCAAATTGGGAAACAATTTAAAGAATATGCGTGCTAAGCCGAATCCCTCATACAAAAAACTACAACTATATATTATGCAGAAGTTGCAAAATGCTAAAAAGGAACAGCATAAGCATAAAGAAAAGAGGCGCATATTAGCCGGATGGAGATAAACATAGAATTATAGTACATAATTGCAAAGGGGTTAGGCAACAGTAATTTAGTTTTAGCTTTATATAATATAATAATATATGGGGGAAAAGTTGAGAAGTTAGACAAAATGTATGTTGAAATGAAAGAAATGTATGAGCTCTTATAATGAACCGGGTGAGGACAACTTCTTATTTTTTGGAACTAACTTCTAATGAAGGTTCAGTTCTAAACTCTAGGGATGTTCAAATGGTTACCGTAGTAATAACCAAACCAATTAAGTCTAAATTTTATTAACCATGGAATAAAATGTCTTAACCAAACCGTCTAAATTAACATGAAAACCAAATTAACTAAACCGAAGTTTAATTAGTTTGGTTAATCGGATAATCGGATTAGCCAAATAACATAAGATTACATGAAAACAATTATCCTGTTAATGAATAAAACATAACCATATGTTATCACTATCTTAAACTATCATTATATATAAGCAATAATAATAAGACTAATCATTCATGAGTATCATCATTATTCGAGTTAATACATCATTCATCATCTCTGCACCTAATATAGTTAGCTTACAACAAACCCTGGGATGAGATACGGTGACAACCCCTAAGGGGGTTGTCAGATTCACAACCCACTTCATAGCCTTTGGATACACTCTCTCTCCTGTCTCTTTCTTCTTTTTTTAAATTAACGGTTAAGATTAAAGGAAGGATATTTTTGGAAGGGTAAAAATTTACCACACCCAATCATTCACCCTACCATATAAAAAGAACAAAAACCCTAACTCCTCCATCCTCCCTCTCTCTCTCCTCCCTCTCTCCCGTAGACATCACCGTCCGCCGAATTCTCCACCAGCCTTTCTTCCCCGTCGACACCCTCCCTCCCGCACCATCCCCTTCTTACCTCCCTCCACCTTCAGCGCCGGCCAAGCTCCCTTTCTCCTCCTCCCCGCCTCTACTGCCGTCTCCCTCCACATTCAGCGCCGGCCAAGCTTCCTTCCCCAATCCCCTTCCTCAAAGCCCTCCCCTTCCTCCTCCCTCAATCCCCTTCCTCAAAGCCGTCTCTCTCTCCTCCCTCAATCCCCTTCCTCAAAGCCCTCCCCTTCCTCCTCCCACCGCCACCCCTGACCTCCGCCGCGCCTGCTGTCCCCGCCGCCGTGTCGCGCCGCGTCTCTACTGGTACCAATACCAATAGTAGCGCTATTGGTACCAATACCACTGGTAGCGCTATTGGTACGCTACCACTACTCACTGGTACCAATACCAGTGGCTTCCCTATTATCTGTACCACTATCATCTGTTTTTTTTGTGTGTTATTCTCTACTGGTACCGCTAGTACCACTACCAATGCTAGTAGCGTTGTGTTATTCTCTACCAATGCTAGTACTGGTACATTTTTTACTGGTACCACTAGTACTAGTACATTTTTTAACGTACTGGTAGCGTACCACTAGCACTGGTATATTAATTACCAATAGACTAATAGATTGGTACACTTTTTAACGCACTGGTATATTTTTCAGGTTGCCGGAGAGAGTCTGCCGGAGAGAATTCGCCGGAGAAAAAGTTTGTCGGACGATGCGGAGTGGCCGCTGGAGAAAGGAAGAAAGAGAGATAGATAGAGATATTAATGTATAGGATTTAAATTTAAAAAAATGTATTTAATATGGGGTTTTAATTCCCAATATAATTAATACAAAAAAGATAATTAATATATTTCGTTTTTGCATACCCAAAATACCCTTGGTTGTGAATCTGACAACCCTCTTAGGGGTTGTCACCGTATCCCGTCCCACAAACCCTTAACATAAATATTAAATACATACCAATACCACTCATCAGGAAGTTAAAGCTCTCCTACAAAACACTTAAACTATACATAGTTTGAGGTGACTGTCATGGTATTGTACGTAATCCTAAAGTCTAGTAGCTGTCCAAAATATTTTGGTTTAGTAAATTGGCAGTCACATTTAATTTTTGACCCATAATGATTTGGTTTGTTGTGAACATGGAAATAAAATAGTGAATCACGAAAGTTTGGTTTGATTGGTTGCATGGAAGTATAAATAATTTTGTACATTAGGTGTATCATTAATTGGTTAATTGGTTTCATTGGTTAGCAGTGTTGAAACCAAACCAAACCACCTAAACCAAATAAGTTAAATTATTTAAGCAAACCAATTATCCAAACCAAATGCTACCAGTTAATATGATTACCACGGTAACCAATCCGTTTGAACACCCCTACTAAACTCCTTCTTTCTTATCGATCCATATGCCTTACTTTCTAAAGAGAGAACTTGACTTAAAATAAAACGCAAAGGATTTTTTTCCCTCTCATTTGATTTAGATAAATTGCTAACATGGTTTGGAGAGTACTTATGCTCAAGTTGTAGAGCAATTTCATGCATCCTAATGTCAACTATTAAAAAGTGGTGAGTAGAGATTTTGCATCAAAGGGACTAGGTTGTATTCGTCGAGCAAATGGAGCATATTCCTCAGCTCACGAAACAAGTTGAGTAACTAGTGTTCAAGAGGTCTACATCTCTTGTATATTTTATGCATTACAATTTTGTCGTTCTTTGTTGTGTTGCGACCATTTAAGCTCATACCCTCTTACTTTCCTATCTAGCTACCATCCAGGCTTGTTGGTGCATAATGCTGTGGTAAATAGAAAAACAGTGGTAAAATCGAAATCGTATGGTTTTAAGTTTTATATAAAAATTTACACCTACAACACTGGAGAGGATTAATAATGTATACCTGGAATAAAAACCAAATACACATAACTCATTCAAGTTCTCAATATCACCTCAAATTGTTAGGAAGAATATAACTATCCAAGTTCTCAAAATAATTATTTCTATCCTTGTTCTCGTCCTCATCATTATCGTAGTATTCATAGAATCTTTGATGAAAAACATAGGCATCGAAACACCATTGAATGATGTTGCTTACAACCGTCATGAAAGACAACTTTTTGTTATGGACGATGGATGCCGGTAATAGTGGAGCATATCGTGAAAGGTTTAGAATGGCGGCGGCAATGCAATGGAAATGAGGTTTGTGAGACGGAACGAGTAAAATGAGAAAGAAACCAAGGATCAGGTTTCTTTGCTAATTTTGGGCAGGGGGACACTCCAATTGACGTGGAGCGAAATCCAACTCAATCGGTCTTATTTGTTTTATTTCGTTTCAGACTTTAAAATCATAGAATATATGAATTATAAAAAAGTTAATTGAAATTTTAATGTCCTAAGATCTTATTGTAAAATCATGTTTTAATTCAATAAACAAGATCCTAAAAACGTAGTTAAAATTCAAATAAGAATTTTAACTACATTACTCATTACTTTAATATTTTTTTTATCACAATTTGTGAGAATATTATTTAATCAGAGAGAACTATTAAAAACATGTGTTCATTACCTCAAAACAATTTTCTTTTTTGAAAAGTACATCAAATTTTTTATTCGGAAAACAAGCCACCATTAAAAAATGTGATTAGATCCACATCGAGGCGGAGGTTGTTGACATAAGTGTTAGAGAAGCAAAACAGGGGAAGGGGCTATAAATATTTCCAACCAGACGACGAGACTCCCAAACCAAGTGTTCGTTGGTGTTTGGTGCCGCTACCAAATTCCCATCTACCGCTCCACTGCGCCTGCTCTCTTTAACAACTCCCGCTGCTCATTATCTTTCTATTCACCTCTTCTCTTCTTTGATCTTTCTCCCCCGATCCCGATCAGGTACCAAACTCTGTTCGTTATTCTCTTCTGGGTTCGATTCGTTTGTTGTTGTTGCAGCTCTAAATCCTCTGTTTGAAATACGATTCCATCAGGAACAATGGCACGGAAGAAGATCAGAGAGTACGATTCCAAGAGACTGCTCAAGGAGCATTTCAAGAGGCTCTCCGGCTACGATTTGCCCATCAAATCCGCCCAAGTAAGCGTCTTTTTTTATTGTACTTGGTTTCTGCGATGTTCTTCTCCCCACCCCACAATTTGTAACGATGAATTGGGGTTTATGGATTTTTCAGGTTAAGGAATCGACTGATGTGATGGCTCTAGCGGAGCAAGAGCCATGGCTGTTGTCCGAGAAACTGGTGGTGAAACCGGACATGCTGTTTGGGAAGCGTGGCAAGAGTGGGCTGGTGGCCCTGAATCTGGATCTGGCTCAAGTTGCTTCCTTTGTTAAGGAGCGGCTTGGCAAGGAAGTTGAGATGGGGGGATGCAAAGGGCCCATCACCACCTTCATTGTCGAGCCGTTCATTCCTCACCAGCAGGAGTTCTACCTCAACATTGTCTCCGATAGGCTTGGATGCAGCGTTAGCTTCTCGGAATGTGGAGGGATTGACATTGAAGAGAACTGGGATAAGGTAAACAAAGACTTGATCGAACAAATCTGATTTTGGGTTTTGATTTACGAGCTTGTTTCTGATGTTTCTTTTGGGGGGGTTTCGTTGGATCTTGTTGTTCAGGTTAAGACGATCTTTGTCCCAACTGGGGAGGCATTAACTTCCCAAGTCTCTGCACCACTCATTGCAACATTGCCTTTGGAGGTAAAATGAGTCTTGAATGTTGTATCTGGGTTTTTGATACGAGACTTTGGGAGGGTCTTATTGCCATGTTGTGAACTCTTTTCTTTCTGATCCCAGATTAGAGGCGAAATTGACAAGTTTATTTCACTGGTCTTTGCCCTATTTCACGGTATGCAGAAATGTCACTTTGATGCACTGATGCGGTGTTACCGTTCTTTGTGGGTGTCCTGAGATCAGTTTTCTTGTTTGGTGTTTTAGATCTGGACTTTACTTTCCTTGAGATGAATCCTTTCACTCTAGTTGATGGAAAGCCTTACCCTTTGGACATGAGGGGAGAGCTGGATGACACTGCTGCTTTCAAGAATTTCAAGAAGTAGAAACCCCATTGCCTTTGTTTTTTCTCCCTTTTCGCATTTCCTCTTCGTTTTTTACTTCTGCCATTAGCTCAAAACGGTTTCTATTATCTTTTGGCAGGTGGGGCGACATTGAGTTTCCATTGCCATTTGGGAGAGTGATGAGTGCCACAGAGAGCTTCATCCACACACTAGATGAGAAGGTAAAGTGTTAGCTCTCTGAGAAAACCCTCTCGTGCTTTAAGTTCTAATGATGATTTTACTTGTTCCACTGCTGCCATTCCAAATGTTGATTTCTGACTAGTGATTGGATTGCAGACAAGTGCATCTTTGAAATTCACTGTTCTGAATCCAAAGGGCCGGATCTGGACCATGGTGGCTGGTGGGGGTGCCAGTGTGATCTATGCTGACACGGTATGGATCATTTGATACTGGAAAAAGCTAATTTTGCTTTATCATGCCTTTTTCTGATGTGTTATTTGTTTCTTTTCTAATTACAGGTTGGAGATCTTGGCTATGCTTCTGAGCTTGGAAACTATGCGGAGTACAGCGGGGCTCCTAATGAAGAGGAAGTGCTGCAATATGCCAGAGTTGTGATTGACGTGAGACCATCCTACACCGATTGGCTTTGATTTTGGTGGATGGATTCCTTAAGATAGATATTCACATTAGTCTGAAAAATGCTCCCTTTTTGTCTCTGTGTGTTTGGTACAGTGTGCAACCTCTGATCCTGATGGCCGGAAGAGAGCCCTTGTCGTTGGAGGAGGGATCGCAAATTTCACTGATGTTGCCGCCACATTCAATGGCATAATCCGAGCTCTGAAGGAGAAGGTGAGTTATACTGGAACTCAATAGTTTTGACTAGGCAAGAACCCTGGAAGGAAAGAAATATGACAAGTAATGCAAAATGCAAACTTATCTGCGTTGGAAGAAGAGAAACCTTGAACGGAATTTCTTGCTTATTTTGTTTCTAGGAATCCAAGCTTAAAGCTGCTAGGATGCACATATTTGTAAGAAGAGGAGGTCCTAACTACCAGAAGGGGCTTGCCAGAATGAGGGCTCTTGGGGAAGAAATCGGCATCCCCCTTGAGGTACTGTACCCCGAAATCTCTCAGCATGACGACCACTGTTATCTTGTTTTCGGTTTATTTTTTCACTAGCCACAGACCATATGTGATTCTCGATCAATCGTAAGGAGGTTTCTCTTTTTGATTCTGCTATGGTTGCAGGTTTATGGGCCAGAGGCAACCATGACTGGAATCTGCAAGCAGGCTATTGAGTGCATATCTGCTGCTGCATAAGTGGAGCTGCCATCACTAAAGTTCTCACCCAGTTTCTGGCTGCCGTTATTTTCCTTATGTTTGGAACCAAGCCCCCTTTTTTCTCTGTTGTATCTTTGAACCTCAAAGGAAAAGTTTGCATTTCCCATTTTCTGTTCTTTTTAGACGGAATCTGCAGCAACAAGTGTTATCGTTTGCGATTGTCATGAATAAAAATTAAAAAGAGTGTTGCATTTTAGTATGCTAGTATTGTGATTTGTGAGTGTCAATAACAACATGCAAGTATCAAATTATGACTTGACTTTTATTTATTATATAAGAAGTAGAAATTCATGACCATTTTGTTACCGACCAAAACTTTTGTGAGCAAGTTGGACAATTACCCGAGTATTATTCAATACATTTTGGAAGCGAAAAGAAACTATAGCCCATGAAAGTTTGGATTTCCTCAAAAGAAAAAAAGCCCATGGGTTTGGATCAAAGCCCAAACGCACGCCACTCTCTTCAATCCAGAATCCCTAAGAATTGCCATCACTGAGACTCGTCTTACGAGAAGCGAATTTCCCGCCGTTGCCTCCAACTCCAAAACCGCCGTCAATCGCCGTCCGAACCCCCGCCGCCCGCCGACCGCTTACTGCTGCCGTGAAATCAGTCGCCTCGCGCCACCCAACTCTCCCCCCGATCTCGCCTCTTTTGTAGTATCTATTCCCGATTCACAAACCAGACCAGGAGCCGAGAACCCTAGGTACCCTTCATTCATCTCAGTTTTACTCTTTGCTCACTTCTAAGAAAGCTCTTAAACGTCTTTTGCCTTGATAGTATCATTTAGAAATGTGCTTTCTCCACCAAAAGTTAGTTACTTTACATCGTTGATCGGGTTCGGATTAACCTTTTTTCCCCTTGCTGAACTTAGTTGAGCTTTTAAGATGGTGATGTGGATGGGAACTCTGTTAGACCTGCATTGGTACGAAGCTTCTTCTATGAGTATAGTTGTAACATGACTTCTGAAGCCTGTTTTTTTAATAATGTAATAAACGGACAGGCAAGAGAAGAGATACAACAGAAAGTGACAATGAGGTTGGTGGACTCATCTGGGGATTTGTCAGGAGAAATGGAAGTGGATGCATTCAGGCGCCTCTTCCCGCTGCGCTACTATGAGCGCCACCTTGCCGAATCTATACGACCTGACGGTAGGCCTCTTGGAATGGCTAGAGATACCACATTGGCATTGGGTGAGTTCTTCATTTTTTTGTTGTTGCAGTTTTGTCCAGTGTTGCTTTTAATCTTATTCTCATCCAAACGAGGACATTTTGTCTCAGGGGCTGTTTCTTCAGCGGATGGATCTGCTCTCGCAAAGATCGGCTCTACTGTAGGTGGCATCTTCCTCTCGTATCTTTCTTTTTCTGTTGCTGATGCATTTGTTTTATGTTTCGAAAAATGAAAGTGAAAACCTAAACTCCTTCTCTGACTGCCTGCCTGTCTGTTTACAGACAATGCTTGCTGCCATAAAAATGGAAGTCATGACTCCTTCTGCAGAATCACCTGATGAGGGGTGTATAGGTATGTCGAACCTAGTGTCCATTTGTGCTTCTGTTTGCGATGTCTTTCACTTGTTAAGTTGTAATCCATTGAATGTATCTTACATGCAGCTATTGAGTTTCACATGCCACCAATTTGCTCTCCCATTGTCAGGCCTGGCAGGCCTGCTGAAGCAGCAGTAGTTGTGTCAAAGCAACTGTCTGATACCATATTGAGGTAAGAAAGAAAGGAATCACTTGATGTTTAACTTGTAAAGGAGGAAGTAATTGTTTGGTGTTTAATAAGATGTACAGTATTTATGAGAATAAAACAGCACCGGTTAGCCAATGTTCCTGCCAAAAGAGGTCCTAGACAGGTCTGATTAAGTATCTCTCATTGAATGAACAGGCCACTTAGTTTCTTGTCTGATTATTCTGCTGTTGCAATCTGGTGTTGCTACACTGAGTTGTCACCTGGGAGGATATTCTTTATGCTTCAATTTTTCTTGTTGTTACCCATTTGTGGAACTATACTAACTTCTGGATCATTTCCGGAAGATTGTTGGGATGAGTGGTAGAATGTAGTTGTTTGATTGATTGTCTGAAAGTTGCATGCTTTAGAATGCAAGCATCTCTTTTCCATTTTTGGTGCTAGGAACCTGAGTCTGGCATGTGAGCATAGGTAGCTTGAACTGGCAAAGCAGTTCTAAATATGTACTCGGTGGGGTCAATGTTTTTTTTTTTTTTTTTTTTGTCAATTAGATAACCGTACACATTCATTTGCCTTTTTGTACTAGTTTTTGTTGACGATAAGCAAGAACCATATGGCTCTTCTTTTGCAGTTCTGGGATGATTGATCTGAAGGAACTTGCTTTGGTCAGTGGAAAAGCTTCTTGGATGGCTTACTTGGTAAGGGGAATTGATTTCCTCGATTTTTAGTGTCTCATTAGGCTTGTAACTAAAGTTGGGAGCTTCTTAATGTGATACGCCAACAATGTTATTCTTTTCTACATTCTTAACAGTCGCAAGACATCATCACTGATCTTATTTCCATACCTGATGTCTACTGGGTGACAAACTTGCATCATCTCAATTGCAAGACATATATTGTTTAGATGCCGATGGTGCACTTTTTGATGCAGCATTGCTTTCAGCTGTGGCTGCATTCTCCCACTGTAAATATTCGTTTCCATTCCTGTAGTTTCTTCTTCCAATGCGGTGCTTCTTTCCCTAATCCGTAGACCCACTCTGTATTCTCTTGCAGTGCAAATCCCAGTAGTTTCCCTGAACGACAAAGGGAAAATAGTAGCCTTCACAGAGGAAGGTGATACTGTGGGGAAGTTGGAGAAAGAAGCAGTTAACAAAGAGAAGAGAAAACTAACACTGGGCAACATCCCTTTCTCACTCACATGCACACTGCATAAGAAGCACATCTTGGCAGACCCCAGTTCGGAAGAAGAGTCCATCATGGAAACTCTCGTGACAGTGGTCATGGACTCGTCCGACAGACTCGTGTCGTTCTACAAACCTGGTGGACCTGCTCTTGCCTATACGTCTCTTGTTACAGTGAGTGTGATTTTGTAACGACCTTTTCCCTCCATTGCAGTTCAAACGAACTATGAGGAACACTAAAGCTTGACGTCATTCCCGTCTGGTTGCAGGATTGTGTACGATTGACGAGGCAAAGAATGAAAGAACTCGAGAAGATCCTTGACGAAGCCTTTTCGGGGATGGAGGTTGACTAGTTTTGCTACTGCTACCCATTTGAGTTTTCCTTGGGGATGGATGAATCTGGTTAATCTTGATGTTCTCAATCTCAATGGAGTGGACACTGCTGGATGGCAAAATCAGCAGGACTGATTTCCCCTGTTTGAATATGTGCAGTTCCTAACTTCACAATGTTTGATTAGGTAGGGGAGAAATGTGCACTAATTTATGACATCAAATTTTGGTTGTGGGCAGACCATCATATTTTGTTATCTCTTCACGATGTGCCCACTGTCAAGGTTCGTGGAATCATGTTCGTCGGATGGCAAATGAAGCAGCGCATATCATGGCACACTCCAGAGACCTCTCGTCTAATGCAATTGTTTGGCTGGATAATCCCCCTTCTTGTTTAGTTCACCAGCTACAGCTGGATAACGCTATGGCGGATTCTGATTAATGGAAGTAAAGCAGATTTTCAGTAAAAAAAAAAAAAAAAAAAATTCACGATGTGCCCACTGTTACGACTTACGATCTGCTCATTCAATGAGAGAAGATAAAACCTAGAGGTGATTAATTACTTTCTCTCTATTCTCTAACATGGACTATGACAGTTTGTCAGTTTCTACTTTCTAGGAGTACTCATTAGTCATAACTGTTTGGTTGATAGTCATATTCAAGCGATCAACAACTTTATTGTTTAGGTTAAAGGTGATATGCTTTTGATCATTCAAACAAAACGTGATCAATGTAGATTGTTTGTACTTAAAGCAATGTAACCGTTGATCGTCGTAGTTAACAATAATGTAAGTTGAACGATTGATACTAAAGCTATGAACATCTAATCGCTTAGGACGAAAATAATCCGAGACAGATCGCTTAGGGCTAAATTACACGTTTGGTCACTCGAATTACATAAACATTTCACGTTTGCCACCCAAATTAATTTTCTTTCAAAGTAACCACTCACTTTACGAATCGTTTCACCGTTGGTCACCCTCCGTCAGACTCCGTTAACGCCGTCAGATTTTTGATGACGTGGCAAACGAAAGTGCTGACTGGGCTGACAGAGAGGCTAAAAATAACCATTTTCCCCATTTTCAAATACTTTTTACCTTTTTGGGAGGGAAAAAAACTCTTACTCACTATTAAAACCCTTCTCACCTCATTTTTGTTCTTTCTCATCCATCCAAATTTTAGACAACACCTCTCCTCTTCATCTTCCTTCATCTTCTCCATCTTCCTTATTCTTCCACTTTCCGTATTCTTCCTTCTCCATCTTCTTCCTTCTCCCTTGCAACAACTTGTGATCTCTGGAGGTTACCGATCTAAACCATGACTAACCCATATTGTCACTGTGGGTACCCAACAAGTTTGAGTAGTTGGACCGATGCAAATCCAGGGCAGAGGTTCTATGGATGTGGCAAGTTTGGGATAAGACCATTTCAATCGCACTTCCTTTCGTGCTTTATCTACCTTCTGTTTCGGTTTAGGTTCTGACCATTCCCCTCATTGTGCTTTCTTCTGTAGACGAATGGAGCATGCAATTATTTCTGATGGTATGAACCAGCCCTTGATGAGCATATGCGAAACGTTGTGCTCAGCCTCCATCATCGAATTCAAGATCTAGAGAGAAGGGAACCAAGGAGAGCTTACAAAATAACTGTCAAAATGGCTTGCATTTTCACTGTAATGGTCATTGTATTTGGTTTCATCTTGTTGGGAAAATAAGAAAATGTTGTTTCACTTGTATCACTCGAATGTTGTTTATGTTTCAATTGTACCATTGTAATGTACTTTTCGTTTCATCTATACCACCAGAATGTTATATATTTTTCACGGAAGCCACTACAGAGTTTTTTATATTTCATCTGTATCACTATGATTTTGATTGCATTTCATGAATGCCACTGCCTTGCTGGTTTTCTTTCGTTTGTATCACTCTGATATTTTCTCTTTGATATGTAACACCTTGTATAGAACAGAACAATACATAACATAAATGCAACCATAACCTGCTGAACATGAATTTAACCAAAAGCCAAAAACTTTACTGAACACCTAGAACTGTTTTACAACAACCATTAAGCTACCATTGCTGGTCCCCCTAAAGTTCAACAATTTGTTCAACATACGATTACGAGACAGCCATTCTGCTTGTCCTAACCAAGCACTACAATAGACATGAATGGCTTCAAAATAGTCAACAAAACAACCATTCTGCTTGTCCTAACCAAGCTCTACAATAGACATGAATGGCTTCAAAATATTCAAAAAAAAAAAAGCCATTCAGCTTGACCTAACCAAGCACTACAATAGGCATTAATGGCTTCAAAAGTCTACACCCTACTCTTCACAGATTGCTCCTATGTGAGTCTTGGCTTGGTTGCTGGGACACTTGACTTGCTGGCCTTTGGGAACTTCCCTGCAAAGTTAAACTACCTTAGTAGGCTTAAAAAAAAATATTGAATATGAGAAATGGAAAACAAAAGACAAGATAATAAACTTTTACATCTACCATCACTTGACTTGATGCTTGTTTGGCAGCTTTAGCTTGCAACTTCTTCAATGCCGCTAGCCTGTTTCTTTCTGCCCTTTCAAGCTGTTTCCTTCTCTATATATCTTCCTTTTCCTTCTGTTTTTCTTTTGCCCTCTTTTTCTTTGCCAACTCCTTTGCTTTTCGGTTTTGATGAAATGTCTTGTTGTGCCCAACTTCTCCGCAATCAGTACACTTATACTTCTTCTTTACTGGTTTTGCAACTTCTCTTTCAGGACCCTTTTGCCTCTTCTTACCAGAATCTTTTTCACCAGCTTTCTTTCTTCTAGCTTTCTTTGGCCTTCCTCTCTTAATAGAGTCACGAAGTGGAGGAACTCCAACGTCACCAAGTTGAGACAAAGGCCAATACTCTCTACTAGCCGTTGGTGATATGGAGTTCTCATAAATTCTTATGCACGAGTCCTTGAAGTAACAACCAGCCACAAAGACGTATACCTTAAGCTTTGCCCTACGAATTGCTTGAATGGCATGCTCACAAGGGATTCCAGTCAGATCCCACCTTCTGCAAGTACAATTCTTTTTTTTTCCAAGTTAACAACAAGTTGCTGATTTTGCCACCTCACCTCAAACTCCCCGTTGCCGTTTGATTCAGCAGACCACTTAAGAGCTTCTTGTCCTAGTTTTTGCAAATTCTTCTCAATGTTTTTACACAAAGGACCAGCCCACTTGTTGGCTATACGTCGTCTTTTGGCATATAGCACCATCAGCCTCCTCCTAATCCCTTCCCACAGGACTCATATCCCTCTCATCGACGATGACATTATTCCAGCTCTCAACCAGGTTGTTCGTGTCCATATCTGTTAAAACGAGACACTGAAAATGCGACCTGGACCAATGGTAGTATGGCTTGTCGACAAGCCAATCATAAGAGGGCTTGTTGTAATCCGACAAGCTTCTCATAGCAACTTGAAATTCAGAGACAATGGTGGCTCTAGCTGCTTCCCAGAATAGCTCCTTAACCCTCGTTGATGATCCACATGCAGCACTTAGATTGGTCACAAGATGCCTGGTACAATGACGCTTCTCACTAGAGGGAAACACCTCATCTAGTGCTGGCATTAGACCCTTCAGAATGAAAATTACAGCAATGGTTAACACCAATGTTTATTTTACAGCAGCTTGTCAACAAAAACAAATAATTTACAGCAACAACAAATAAATTTAAGGCAGCAAGAATGAGTAAAAAATGCACCTTTTGCTTGTGAGAAATGAATGTCCATCCAGGATTATCATTAATATGCAAATCGGTTCCCAACAGCTACAGGAACCAAAGCCAATTATCCTTGTTCTCCACCTCAACATGAGCAAATGCGATGGGAAAATATTGCTCGTTCGCATCAATACATACATGCGATTGAACACTTGTTCTCGTTGCTCAACTACAACAGTGGAGTTTGGGTTGCTCCTCCTCAACTCTGCAGCATAATGATATAAGCTTCTGTATTGGTCCCTAATAGATCCACAGACCTTCTCAATTGTTGTCTTCTTGATTCTCCATGCCTTCATATCCCCAATCTCCTCCCTATAATCTTCCTTCACAATTTGCTTAAGCAATTTCTTACTCATACTGTGATCTGCTGCCACCTTCTTAGTCATTTTATCCCCCAAGAACTTGTGTGTTGCAAACCTATTGTTGAAGGTTAAGGTGCAATCTGTTGTGTGCTCAAGTTTGCACCTAGTGATCTTCACAGCATCTTCATCTCTCAACTTGGATGCCCATATGTACCAATCACATGGTGCCTCGCACATCACTTGCAGCCTCTTACCATCACTTCGTTTGAAGAATATTGGCCGTTTCTCAATGAAAGAATATTTCTTGAGTTCATCTTTCAACACACCAAAGCTGCTGAATTTTTGAGAAATAGCAAAGGTTGGCTTCTCCATGTCTCGGTCCACCCGGAAATCTGGAACAATTGCAGCATCAGATTCGGAATCCGAACTATGGATAGATCTACGATCATCTGAATCTACAGGATCAGACTCCTCTTCGTCCACTTCTGCATCACCAAGGCCATCATCTCCTCCACCAAACATCCCCATATCAGCCTCTACGTCTAAATTACAATTCTTCTCATAGTTTATATCATCACCAATGCCTATGTCCGACTCAGAATCGACCTCATAGTTACTATCTTCATCCTCTCCTTCATAATCACTGTCACTATCTCCATCCTCGCCTACTGTTACTTCCTTTTCTGCAAGTGGAGTTGCATCTTCTTCATCATCACTATCCATAAAGTCCAGAACTTCATGCTCAGCCATAGCATAAAGTTCAATGATCCTGGGAGGTTCATTAGATGCTCCGGCCATTTCCAATAAGTCTTCATCTCTGGTGATCTCTGTCATTGATTCATCAAGAGGAGCTTTCCAATAAAACTTTGGATTCGGAATCTTCCCACCACACTCCTTGTAGATGTCTACCAAGTCCAGAATGGAGAGCAGATCGATATCAGCGTGGTCATAGTACACAATAGTCTCATCCTGCATAAAATGCTTCCCTCTCTTCTTTTTGATTTGATAATCAACATGAACTTCAAAGCTGAATTCTCCACTACAATCACCTATTTATTTGAAAAAGAAAAAGAAAAAGGTCAGAAAAAAGAATCATGCCTCCAAGCAGTAGTATGTACTAGCAATAAAGGCCATCCACCAGCATGTTAACTACCTATGTTCACCATAAAGACCAACTGAAATATCATACACTATGTTGTTGTCAACCTAATAAACAACTACTATACACACATTCCACCCATAAAGATGAGAAAGTGACCACACTTACGATATGTAGGGATGGGAGCATCTGGTTGCCGCACATGTCCCCCCATATTGCTCGCCAAACGTGACAAACAACCTGGAAAACGACAGCAAAATCCCCACAGTCGAGAACTTTTATCATTTTCTAACTTTTCCCCTTTCAACACTTCGCATGACTATCATAAAAAGGGCCAAAAGGGAACTAACAGTAAGCACCTTTGCGTCTGTCCCAAAAGCACCTTTGCGTCTGTCTTCTTGCCGAGCAACCACCACAAAGCGAATCAGAAGGTAAGGTTTAGGGTTTCTGTCGATTTCATATTGGGAAATTTTTAGGGTTTCAGTAAAACAAATTGGGTACGATAAGAAGAGTAAAGGAAGAAAGGAACGAAAAGGATGGAGAAGGTTAGAAGATTCGGCGGCCTTACCTCCACCTCCCATGCCCGATCGAGATACTTCACCACCGCCGATCGAGCGCCTCCACCTCCCCTGCCCGGAAACTCCTTTCTCTGCCCTAGTCGGACCTGTCCGACCGGCGTCTCCCCTTCTCCCCTTATCGAGATCGACGTCGCCGCCTCGGGTGAAAAACTCAGAGAAGAGAATACGAAGAGAAGAGAGAAGGACAAACCCCTTCCTTTTACTGCCCGATCAGTTTCACACTAAAAAGTAAAAATTCAAAAGATTTTTTTCAATAAAAATAAAAGAAAAGAAAAATGAAATACAAAGAAAAAAATGGGTCAATTAAATTGCTCGGTTGGGTATGTGGCTGACTAGGCAGTCAAAGCCGTCTATTTTATCCTCTGTGTCAGCCAAGTCAGCATTTCCGTTTACCACGTCATCAAAAATCTGACGGCGTTAACGGAGTCTGACGGAGACTGACGGAGGGTGACCAACGGTGAAACGATTCGTAAAGTGAGTGGTTACTTTGAAAGAAAATTAATTTGGGTGGCAAATGTGAAATGTTTATGGAATTCGAGTGACCAAATGTATAATTTAGCCAATCGCTTAGCCTTAAAGCGATCACTACCCAACACCAATTTGTGATTGTTCCTTGTAATGAAGTTTATAATTTGTGGTGTTTTCCTTGTAATAGTGTGTAAGCAATATACCGTTTTGGGACGAACAAGGACATGACAAGCATAAGAATTCATTCCACTTATATAAAACTCTAGTTTCGCCACTGAGAAGGATATAGAAACGACAAGTCGACAACTATCTCCAAACTACATCCAAAGGGAGCTTTCCATTTAATAATGACTGATAAATAGGGTACACATCTGCCCTTTCAGCAGTTGCAGTATATGTACATTAGCACTCATCTCAGAATACCAAACTACAGTGTCCGATTTAAAGCTCAAACCCAATTGGTGATTCTCTTTTCAACAACAACAACGTTACGTTGTTGTTGTACTGCGTCAAACCTCAGCCAAGAGAAGCTAATGCTAATTGCTATTCCTAATTGTGTGTCAAGCCATTCCAGGAAGTGTCGAAGTCTGTACACAACACACCTGCGTCAATTGCAGCAGGTTCAGGAGAAAATAAATTCAGATCCGAGGGTACACCTCCTGCCGAGGTCACTGGAACAGACTGGCCCAAATTCCAGCTCCGGTAGTTGTCATCCGGGTAATGATGTCCTGAACTGACAGGGAACTGAGGACTACACTGGTCAACCTTGGATCGATCTTCGTTGTAGGCCACGCCGTTATACTGAAAATCCTCAACCAAAGTTTGCCGATTACTCATTTCACCACCCCAATTGAAGTTGAAATCTAAAATTCCAGAATCAACAGAACTGCTAGTTTGATGAAGCTGGCTTACATTCTGGCTGTTACTTGGTTGATAAACAGGCTGCCGGAAAACCTCAGGTACGGAGGCCAGAGCATCTGCAACAAGGTTGACGTCTGGTTGTGAGGAGCCCGGACTGAACATGTTAGGTAGGGCAGTCGGCTGCTCACCAGACCCAAAGTTGTTTGGCACAGTAAATGGACCAGCAGCATTCCTCGTATATGTTGAACTGGGAATATAATTTATATCTGAAGTACCATAAATAGATTGATCGGTTCGAAAAGGAGGACCAACACCAAACATCTGATTCTTCATAATTGCACCAGAGGAGACAAATTGCTGGCCTAAATTACCAATTTGTGAGCCTCTATCTCGCCGTATCAAACTGTCACGTATACCAAGTGCTGACTGAGAAGATCTGCGAGGGAAGAGTCCGTTTCTCCCATAATCATAACCTGGCCGTGGGGCTCTACTCCGACTTATGATATTCGGTACAACAGATGTGCAAGCTCGAACAGTGGTTGGCTTTCTGAGTTGGCTATAAGTCACTGAATTGGCTGACAATCCCACCGCATTTTGAATATGTGAAAGTTGGTTGACCTGGTTGAAAGCTTCTGTAAGAGTCGGAACTTTTGAAACAGTCAATGAACCATCTTTGGCCCGCCTGAAATTTTCCCTCATAGTTTTCCACATCTGCTGATTATCGGTAGCGTGACAATGGTCACTACTGGAGAGACCGTTACCCCAATATGCACATGGAGCAACAGAATCACAGACATAGCAGTGACACTGTATTTGGAAAAACATAGGCAGAGAATAAATATCATGACATGAACAAGTGTATACATAAATATATTGAAGGAGCCCATATTTTTTACACAATCTTACCAGCTCACAATGCTCGGAATGCAGGGTAGAACTAAAACTGAATTTGAGACAGAGATGTCGAGAATGTGGGTAGTCTCTGCAAGCAACCTGAAACAACAAACATTATTATCTGAAACAATGTCCTCATATCTTCAGACTTTAAACAAAAACAGACTTCTCCATTAAATAAGATACCATCAATGACCAACAAAACAATTCATAAAGAATGGATAGGCTACAGACTTCTCAGCGTCAAACTGCTCAGATGAACACAAAGTCAAAACAAACAACAACCCATAAAATCTTCGAAAAGGATCTCTGAGAAACACCTGATCCAACACTATGGATCCAATTTGTACAGGAGGTTCCAGAATCGATCGTCAACTGCCAATACCATATTTCCTTGATTGTAACTTGATTTGCTGCCACAAAAGAAACGATAGAGAGTGCTTGATCTGGAACATGTAACTAGCACAATGGAACCACATTCACATAGCCTTTTCATATAAAGACATAGCAGAACAGCCGATTGACCGAGAAAATCTTTCTTCGTATCTATAAACAAGGTCATTTCACCCCAATCTTAAGGGGGATAGAATCAGTGATACAGATCTACCATGGCAGGTAGAACAAACATACATTGTTGTAACCAAAGCAAATTATCCCCATCCCAATAATTTGAAGAATTGCCAAATCAAATTGTCATGTCATTGCATTCCAAGACCTATAACACATACTAGTAATGGTATTTGGATGGAACATCAAAACTATTTCCCAGACGCATCCATCGGGAACCACTATTTCCCAGAAGAAGGAATATGAACATGTAATAGTTCAAGCGAAAGATACTAAGAGCCTTTCTAAATCATAGCGCCCGATTAGAATGATGATAAAAGCACCTCTAACTCCAAAAATCAGTTCAACCATAATTCAGTTTCCAGAAGACCCTTAATCAAAAAGGGCTAGTCCACAATCCAGATTCTCATTTCCCTCTAGGGGAAAATTACCTAATCTAAAGCTTCAAACAAACGGCGGAACTGATAAACACAGTGTGATAAAACATACAGAAACAGAACCAACTACAACGCAGACTGACCTGTCCCGTCTCGCCCACAACAAGCAGCTCATCCTCATCACTGTCTGCTGTATCCTTCACCTTCCCCGCAGCCGGCTGATCGGGCTTATCCGGATCGCCATCCAAAATCACGCAATCATCATCATCCTCAAAATCCCTGACCGGTTTAGACGATCTGCAGGACTTAAGCTTCGGCTTCGGGGGTGTGTACTCTCCAACTACCACCACATCATCGGAACCATCCGTGTCTTTGTCAACCGCCTGGAGAAGCTCCTCCAGCCAATTGTGATCGTCTTCCCCGCCGACGCCCGGTTCGCTGAAGGGTCCAGGCTCAGGCTCGTCATCGGAGCTGATGTCGAATATCACCGGAGCAGGGTCCATCGCGGCAGCGAAAAACCCGATGGAGTAGTTACTCTTCCAGGCCGGAGCCTTACCATACGCTTTTTTTTTATCTCGTCGCAGCCGCCGCGGCAACCCGAATCTTCCTGGAAAAAGAGATTCCAGCGGACGTGATACAAATGGGAATTTCAGGGCATAGAGAACGGTTGAGATTTGCAGCGCGAGAGAGGGAGGGGAGAAGGACTGTTTGTCGGCGAGAATTGATTTTTCTGGGAAGTTAGGGTTTGTGGAGAAAGAGGAGAGTTTGTGGGACAGGAGAGTAAATGTCACAGAGAAGAGAAGAACAAGCCGAGGCGAGGATGGTGAACGACCTCGTATGGTCCTCGAACTTCCATATGCTCTACCAATTTGACACTCAACTTTCAGAAATTGCTAATCGACCACTGAGCTTCCCTTTTTGTCTCAATCAATTACCATAAATCATCAAATATCAATCCATCAATTATCGTCATCCATCAATAAAACTAGCTTATAACCCGGCCCGTTGGCCGGAGGACATTACGTAATTCAATAATTAGGTATTTGTCGGGTCTATGTTGGAAATTAACAATCATGGTTCAAAATAGGAAATTTGAGAATCATAATAGGATTACCAATGCATTCCGTCTCGTCTGAATTTTTTGAAAATCCAACCCGCTTTCCCACGACCCACACATAAGTAAAACGACATCATTTTGTAACTAACCATAATAATATGAATAATTTATGAATGCTATTAGTCTTTAGAGCAATATAAACACAGTAATATGAACAATTAATGAATATTATTAGTCTTTATGGAGTTATATTTGTTGAAATTTGTTTGAGCACATAACGATGTGGGCATTCAAAGAAATCATTTATGGATTTGTTAGCAAAATCATGGGCACCCGTTAGGTTGGATTTTCACTTCTAAAATCATCTAATGAGTATTTTACTGGAATTCTTTTATGAATGCACCCGCTGAATTGAGTTTGATGTCGGAGAAACCCGACTCAACCAATCCATTGTCATCCCTAATTACTCTTTCATCATTGCCAAATTTAGCTAGCCAATGAGTTTTATTTAGGGAAAATTCTACGAATCTCGTCATATTTATAAACTGCGAAGTTGGTTAATGTTGATCCTAACATCTCCCACTCTTCAATTAGACGGATATCTATAGATTCTTTTCCTCACAAAGGACCAGGGATGCTAATCATGTATGTCTTAACTGGGGTAGTCTACGAATCATGACAAACCATGTAGAAAAGCTTAGCTAGCACGACAATAACCACTACTGAAGCACAACAATGTGTTTTTGGTTTCTTTGATGAGCACACGCCATAGCTTGGAAATATGAATAGTGGCGTTGATTAGAAATGTAAGAGCAGCGCTAGAAGCTTCTTCTTTGCTTGCAAAAAGTTGTACTCAAATGGAAGATAGTAAATTAGTTCTTTTCCTATTGTAGAAATGCCTGGGTGCCCATGTTTCAATATCAGAAGATCAAGAAAAACGGTTCAAATCAAATTACAGAGTTCAAAAAGAGGATGCATCTCAAAACACATAATTGGTTTATACATCAGGAGATGGTCGAGCTTCGACCAAAAGGTTTAAGATGCATCCACATTCCAGACCAATTCCCATATTGTTCACTTTGACCAAGTGGAATAAGCAGCCGAAGACGTTCCATATCAGTATCCACATGACATTTATAACTATCGTTGCAGCAAAAGTTGATTCATGAAGCAGGGCTAGAATGGAAAAAAGGATAGTAAGAGGCATACAAATACAAAGTAGAAAAGAAGCAATCAAACACATTTGCTATAGAACAATACGACTTTCTAGAGTTATGTTATCTATTAATAATGAACTTGCAATACGACACAAAATGGACATTGTGTGATGATCAACATGATCCCTCCTCTCTCAACCAATAATATCAATTGATATACCAATTGTACACATTCAAAATGAGTATTACTAAGTTTCTCTAAAAACAAATGGCATGGATTAGAGTGCTATGGGCTCTATCAATAGTTCAATACTGAGAATTCCAAGTTACACAAATCAATTGACATTAGCATAATAAAATTCAAAGGAAGTTCCAGAATAATTGCGATGGACTGCAAGCGTAGGTTAATGCATGGTTTGATTGTAATTTGCAGTCCATGAACATGACCCTCGTCTTCTTAAATGAACTCTGACCATACTTTGTTGATTTGATCATAAAATAAACTAAGACAACCTAATTAAGGTATGGGGATTCAGGAAATAACTACATTTCTAAGACAATGATAAGAAAGAGGGATAGTACAATTAGAAGACAGACTCACTTGATGCCAAGATCAGTATGCTTTTGGATACCGAAACTAAAGCAGTTAGTGTCGCTGAAGTTACTCCTAGTGAGCTCATACTCTTTAACCTTCCTTGTCACCTTGTGACCCGACATAGTAAGCACGAAGAACTCCTTAAAATATTGCTATAAAAATCATAATAAAAGCATACCCTCGGAATAAACTGGGGTTTGACCGCTGATTTGTTCCAGCACCTGCGAGTAAAGTCAAAAAGTATCACTATATGGGAATAATGGAGGAAACTGCTAACAATCTAGAGCAAGGAAAAAGTATCAAAGAGAAATACGCTGACGGGAACCTTGGCAAAGCAGTTGAAGCATTCTTCGTTTTTTTGTGGAGAAGTTGAGCACCAGTTAAGTGCTGGTTCTGTATCCTAAATTGTTCACATTAAAGATTTGCGGCAAGGATAAGGGTGACATAGTTAATCCATTTTCAGTCAATGAATTGGGAATAAAAGCAGCAAGAGGGAAAGATAGCTAGAACCAAATGAGCAAGTTGTGGTCTCATTTCAGGTAATCATGCAAGCTATGGTTATGGAACTTAAGAGTAAAAAGAAACAAAAAAGAATCAAACCTTACAAAATTGATGGAGTACGAAGTTGTCCTCGCCTTCAGTTGTGCAACCTCATCAATTTAGTGTTGCAGCTTAAGAGAAAATACAACCACGCCATATTCATTACAACAATAACTTCTCCAATTACTAAAGTACAACAAAAACTTCTGAAATACAAAAAAATAACCTTCTATCGACAATGCATGACAGCCTTTTCTATCAAGTAGGAGCAGAGCACATGACAGTAAGAAGTCTGATAAAAAAACGAACAGCGAAAAGCTCTGTTCAGAGTTTGGCTGTACAATTTGGCAGCTATGACTTGTGACCCTCTTCTAAAGTTAGTTAACCAACAATATGCAATTTAGAAGAGCATTGTGGAGCATAGCGAGAGGGAGAGAGAGAGAGGGAGAGCACACCTGAGTAATTGGTATCTAGATCGAGATATGAGTCTTGACTCTTGAAGCAACATATACCCTGCAGTTTGGATACTATCCTCCTCAGTGTCATCGTGAGTGAATTATCCAACGAAATCTCCATTTAGGTTAACCCTTACAAAGATGTCATCTGATGTAGCTGTTATACTTTCATGGCCCAAGATCACTTTCTGTAAGTGGAAAGAATAGGTTGAATTCAAGAGGTTTGATGTTTGCTTATCTATGTATAAGATAGGAAAACACGTACCTATACAAACACATCACACATTTATTATTGTAGTTAAGTAGTCAAGTGACGAAGAGCTTAAATCATTTTCTGAATATACCAAAGCAAGCTGGAAGAGCTTTCATCACGCAGCGCCGAGGTCAAAACGATATGTTTTGCAGCCGACCTTCAAGAATCCTGCAAAGTAGCAAAGACATCACTCCTCAAATCTACGAAAAGGAAAACAACCGTATAGTCCACCCATCAACACACAAAAAGACAGATCAGAATCAGCCCAGATGCTTGAAAATCCATCTACATGTAAAAAACACCTAAATATCCAGTTAACTCATTCAATTGGATGGTCTGCATTGTTGTTGAGTATTTGTCATCTCTAGAATCAACCTTAGAAAAGCAATCATTTAAGAAGCAATGATGAAATACATAACCATTTATTAGAGAAAAGAGTCGTTCCAATAGAATTTCACTAACATAGTACAATTTTAACCCCCCCACTTCAGCAATGAATTGATTAGAACACCAACCCCATTGTAGAAAGTAACAGCTAAAATCTAACCTTATGCTGGAAAATTGAGAGAAATTGGGACTTACCCCAATGCCAATAATGACTCCAGTCACAATAGGAACCGAAGTGAGGTATGTGAGCCAAGCCTCCCTCTTGAGAGTCATCACATAAGCAAAGACGCGAAGAAAAACAGGGTAAGGGTGCCGACGGCCTGATTAAAGGACACCGGAAGGAAGCGGAGGAAGATGTTCCCAAACACCATCGTTATCTAACAAACACCCATTGAAAATAAAGCTTAACTTCTAATTATGATGTATAATCTCGTTAACAAAAACAAACAAAATAAGGTCTAGGTGCCTAAGCGGAATGACATCAGCTTCAATCATTAATATAAGGAGCTGCATTTTATCATTCGAAGAAGCCAATCGATTATTCTCATATCCAGAAGAAGAACCCCTGGAACTTTAGGTACGCAGAATCGATTGATAGAGGTGAGCTATTGGTGAGCTATTGGTCTTGTGAAAATAACAGAAATAGATTTAGAATCGCGAGTTAAAAGGAAGATAAAAATCAAATATGAACCCAGCTATGAAGGGAATACCTCGGTAGAGCTGTCAGTCCCAATTGAAGCGATCGAAAGAACTGTATCACGGAGAAGAATTGGTTGAACTGCAGCCTGCAGGTATGGATAATCGATTGACAAAGGTGAGCTTGTGGTTTTGAGAAGAAGGAGAAATCATGCAAAGATAAATGAGGAGAGATGAACAACTGTCTCTGGAGAAACCGCTTGTACTGCCAGCGAAAGACCAAAAAAATTCCCCGAATCTGCAGAGGTGCAGGCGATGCCGAGGAGGACAGTCGGTTGGGGGGTTTCTTCCAAGTCTCTGGAACAGTTTTCTCTTTCTTTCCTCATACAACCACTGAGCCCGTTCAAATGCACGTGTGCTAGACGTAAAATATGAACTTTCCAAAATTGCCCCTCCGAGAGAGACTCTGGAGGCAGCAAATTTGAAATGGGGAAGTTGTTTTCCCCTTCAACGTATTATAAGTATAGTAGACTCGAGCTCCCTTTTTTGCTTCTGGTGGAACCTGCTTATGTAACTGAAAATAAGATAGAATTATGTTAGCATGGAGAAGTTCCTGCTACTTAAAGGTCGAGAATCCATAAAAGCAGGTTGCCCCTGTCCTAAACTGACACAAACGTGAGCTGTTGGGATTTGGGGCAAATTACACAAACAAATGGGATGCTACTGGTTTGTATCTATTCCTTCCCTTAAATTACATCACAGTCCTTTTTTCAAATGGTCGACAAAAAGATTCATGTATTGGGTGAATAGGCCATATCTTTGAGAGAAAAGGAAGTAAGGAAGGAATAAGCATTCAATTTTGAGTGGCTCTCCCATTTTCATGCCATATATGCATGTAGATAGATTACACTTAGCTTATTGTCAAGAGGTATAATTTATTGATTAGAGGGATCTCTAAATATTTCTCATAAGAAGACGCATAATATGAAAATTACAATAAATACCCAATTATTTACCATCTAAAACCCAATTATCCAGAGTAATTATTGGTTTTCTCTTAACACTCAGAATTCATGCATTTCAGAACCTCCAATCGTGACTGGCTCACTTTGAACTCATGAAATAAGCCTAGTAATCACATCATAGTTCAAAGTAAACAATGCCATTGTTAAGATTCAATATCAAAAGATGGAAAGCTATCAAAAGTGTTCTTACTATCATACAAAGCTAAGCGAAAGGCAGAGAGTCATACTTGGGACTGAAACAACCCGTACTGGATGAATCCGATGTACCATCAAAACAATATTCCTTCTCCTCCTAGCTAATGCCGAAATATGATCATCCATGTGAAGGAGGCGGCTTTCAAGTTGTCGATAACTAAGAATAAGAAAGATCAAAGCTTAGAACAACTAGTATTGTACTTCCAATTAATCAAATGTTGTAGATTCTCCCTTACCACCCTCGATGTGCACCCTCTTAGTGTCGACTTTAGCTAGAGTTGGACCTTCAGGTGAGACACATATATCCCTTCCTTTCCCTGACAAATGAACGATGGAACACACAAATCAAATAACTTACAATTTAGTGCATATACAACATACAATCTAAAGAAAACATCAAACTAATAACAAAGTGAGCATATTACATTGAGGAGTTGCAGAATTGGAAGTGGATGATATTGATTCTTCTGGCTAGAAGAAGTATCACTGCGAAGCCCCTTAGGTGGCATTGCTGCAATCTCCGCAAACCCAAAAGAAACTCACCAACAAAGATACCCAATCAGTCAACAAATTGTGTCTTAATATCGTCAAAAGTATGCAACAGTAGGTCAGTATCAAACTGAATCTCTGAAGGGAGATAGTTAGCATGCCATCACATCATCACATCTTGTTGATTAAAAACACATCCTCAACAAATTATCATGCCACACAAATATCTCATTATTCCCTAGATTTATTTCTAGGTCATCAATCCAAATTCATCTTAACCCAATTCCTCATGGTATGACTTTCATTAATCAAGTCATATATCGACATAAAATCGTAAACTTACCTCAACTCATGAATCCATCATATAAACCTTTCATTCAAAGTCAAGTCATCATTTGAACATCAAACATATCAATCATTCATCCATAGTCAAATCACAAATTTGGAATTAACCATATCAATCATTCATCCATAATCAAATCACCAATTTGGCATTAACCATATCAATCTTTCAATCAATCATCAATCGAATATAACTTCACGATTTCCTTTATGGAAATCATCTCCATCATATATCATATGCAATGCATGAAATGCAGACTCTCAATTTGTTATTAATTTGCGCGCTAAGGTCACCATACGCCCACCCCGCTCGAGCTCATCATCTTAGTGGTTATATAAAAAACCACAATCTCATCCAATCTAGGATTATCATAAATCCTTTCATTAGGACCGCAGCCCAATCAATCTCATAGGGGTAGGCATAGGCCCTTCTATGTCTATGTGATTTAACATGATCAAACAATATCAATTTCTCTCTTCCATCATATCTCAATCGATCCAAGAAATCAACAACGTCCCATTGATATTCCCAGTCCATGCATATCTCACATCATCTATGCATACTTTGATGCATTGCATGATCTCAATATAATGATCATCTTCTCAATGATATAAGTAATTCATTCTCTCCAATCAAACTTGACAAATCTACCAAGTACTCACTTTATCAATACCTCATTCACTCATCGTAATCATTTAACACATCAAATACAAATCGATCATGATAATATCTCATCCACATCATCATTAATCAAAGCATTCATCATATCAACATTGTCACAAAATATCTCGGTAATATTTATATTTACCAATCACATTTATACCAATCGATATTCTAATCACGTCATACTCATATACGTCAATCGTATCACTATCACTCAATATCCCTGTCATCATCATCATCATGCCATAATCATACATATCAATAATCAATATATATTTTATTCGTCATCAAATCATTTTATCATATGAACCATATAATAACAATAAAAATACATCAAATTATCCATATCATCCATTAACTAATTTCATCAACATATCAACTAAACATATTAGGATCAAAATCTTATTTTCATGAATTTATATTAATAACTTGAAACCATTCTAAAAAGGACCATACCCAATATATAATTCTCATGATTATCAAAAGTTCATTTGAAAAGATCTCCCTTAATAACACTTCTCTCAATAATTATTTTTTAATATACAATCTACATCATCGTTCGTCAAAATACATTAATAAGATTATCTTCAATATTTAAATTAAATACTCAATTAAGTATTACTACAAATTATTCTTAAAATGTAACTTAACTTCAATCTTAATTAAAATAACTCGTGATAATAATCTAACCATCATACTCAGTTTATAATAATTTTCCCTTAAGTCGCCATTATTCTAAAAATCGTAATATAATCTCTTTAATAACAAAACGGCATAGAAACATGTTTCATCCATCTAAAAATCCAACCAAGATCACAAATCCGTTGCTGAAATTATTATGACCAGAATTCCTTCTCATATCTAATCCAATTTATAAATTCACAATTTCAACCTTTTTAAAGTCATAACATCAATTAATTCCAAAAACTCAATTATTACCAATATAATGATTCTCATGGTAATATATCATGACTAATGTCGTCTCAAGATTCCTTAAATTTCCTTTCCTTATTCTGATCTCAATAGACATTTTCATAAAATATTCGGAGTTCACCATATACGTCAACAATTCCCATATGAGATTAATAATAATTATTATCATAAAAATCAGTTAACTTCATCAACAATTTCATCCAAAATCACAATGATGAATCAATCACAAATCCATAATAATCATTAATCATCAACTCAATCATCCGTATTTAGAAATAAACACGTAATTCCGGTTTCCTTTTACCGTAAGCCCACACACCTTATTTATGACGAAACTAATTCTGTGTCATCTCTGAAAATTCCAAATCTTGGTTTCAAAATATTCTCCTCGTTCTTACGATCCTGTAGGTGAAGACGGTTTGTCGTTTGGACGTCAAACGAACGATTATGAACGAAATACGAATTCCGTTAGTACTCAAAGTACCAGGGACTAAATACGAAGTTTACCAGTCAACTGAAATGTGTTGACCCGTCTCTGTGGGAAAACTACATAAAGGTCCTTTAACTTTTCGATTTATCAGAAATGGTACCTGGACTTAACAATTTTTGTGCCGAACTTCCAATGCTCATTTCTCCCTCGTCCGACGTCGAAACTCAATTTCGTCGAAACGTGCAAGCTCCTGGGATCTCCCTCTTTGCAACCATACCCACCTTTTGAAGTATGGTTGAAGTTCATTTTTCTGGTTTTTCCGGCGACCCTCCGACGAAACTCCGGCGAAAATCCGACGAGACTTCTAACCACCTCCAATGGAAATTCTGACTGCATAGATGGCTTTGGGACCTCCATATTACTCTATCCAAGCCACAGAAAGTGGTTTCTTCTTCTTTTCTGTTTTTCTTTCTCACACTCTCTTTGGTTCGTATATGATGGTCTGTAATGATAGTGGTGTAGTGATTGAAGAAAAAGGAGAATCTTCCTCTTTTCATTTAAGCTCTACAACCGTGCCTTTACTTAGTGCATAAAGTAGGTGGAGAGAGCCCACTTATCTTTACTTTTGTTTCCCTAATAATTCACTCATGCTCTCTCTAATTGATTAGTCTGATGCCCACCCTTGCAGCTCATTGTCGATAAGGTTTACAGCTCATTACAACTCCCATGACCCATACCATAACCAATAATATATCTAACCAAATGATTCATGAACAGTTCACATACCGGTACGTTCTGTTCTTTTTTTACTTCCTCTGTTATTGTCGTTTGTCACAAAGTGTTGAATTTGAAATGTTCTCCTCGAGGCTACGATCCTGTGGCGGTTCTTTATTTCTATTCCGAATGAAAAAGTTGTGCCCAAATTAGTGTCGGTACGTACGTTATTTCAATAACGAAATCTAGACTTCAAAATGACATATCTCACTCGTTTGAAATCCAAACTTAGTTCCATAAAATTCTACGTGATCGTGGAAGAATTTTCTAACTTGTGGAATCAAGATTTGTTCGCAATTTCTGATACATCATTCCAGAGTATTCGTCATGTCATAAACCATTCGGCGTGGTTGCAATTTCTTCGAGTATAGTTGAAATTCTTGATTCACCAATAAACCAAAATGATTTATAAATTGATCGAGGTTTGGGATGTTACAGTTGTATTCGATTTAATTTGGTGCGGTGCAAATATCAATTTGATCTATTTTCAGGATTTATAAAATTCAAAAGACCAAAGATCGAACCACATTATATTCAGTCTGGTATAATCGGGTTGTCTTACCTATTTTTGTGTAGTTTTCTTTCTGCTCTAGCTTCAAAGTAATAGTTTTTCTCCTAAAAAATGTGAAGAGAAAAACAAGATGCAGGCTAGCAGCCCAACATAGTCAATGAATGTTCTCTCTCCCCTTTCTACCACTGACAACATATATTGCAGAGGTAGAAATGGACCACTGACAACATATATTGCAAACCCGAGCATTGCTATTCGTCGCCCTAAAACACCTTATTCATCGCCTTAGGGTAAAGTCCATGTGTTGATCACTGGGTGAACTAAGAAGTGATAAGGTCTTAACCGATTCACTCGTCAGTAGCTAGTTGAGGTAGTTTCCTACTCATACCGTGGAACCAACTCAAAACGAGCTAACTCAAGTTGCGCTCAATAAGTCACTCAGTTGAGCTTGTTCACGAGCCTTATGAGCCGAACAAAGGCTTATCTCAAACTCGACACGTTACTAAACAAGTCTAGTTTCAAACGATTTTTTTTCCAAGGCCGAACAACAAGCTGCTCATTAATAGCTTGACTCATTTGCGCACTAGTCACAAGGGAAAACACAAAAATAAGACCCATTCTCTTCACTAAGCTACTTAGGGATGTGTAACAGTTGTGACCAAACTATGAAATCGCAATCCAATAGTAAAAGAAATTTTAGGACCAATAGTCTGATCATGGTTGTATTCGATTTAATTTGGTGCGGTGCAAATATCAATTTGGTCTATTTTCAGGATTTATAAAATTCACAAGACCAAAGATCGAACCACATTATATTCGGTCTGGTATAATCGGGTTGTCATACCTATTTTTGTGTAGTTTTCTTTATGCTCTAGCTTCAAAGTAATAGTTTTTCTCCTAAAAAATGTGAAGAGAAAAACAAGATGCAGGCTAGCAGCCCAGCATAGTTAATGAAGGTTCTCTCTCGACAACATATATTGCAGAGGTAGAAATGAACCACTGACAACATATATTGCAAACCCGAGCATTGCTATTCGTTGCCCTAAAACACCTTATTCATCGCCCTAGGGTAAAGTCCATGTGTTGATCATTGGGTGTACTAAAAAGTGTCATGTTTAATCACTAGGTAATACATAATTTCAATGTTGGTCACTCGAATTAGTAAAAAAGTCCATTCATGATCAGGTTAAAGTCAAACAGTTCGTGTTTGATCACTCTAATTAGTCAAACAATTCATTTTTGGTCACTCAAATTAGTCAAACAATTTGTCGGAGAGTGAACAAACATGGACTGTTTGATTAATTCGAGTGACGAACATTGAAATTAAATATTTATAGCGACTAAACATGACACTTCTTAACAAATTCAGTGACCAAACAAACATTCAATTTGCCCCACTAATAAATAATCAGAAAATTAACCCTAATTCTACTCGGCCATAATCCGCAGCCCACCCCTAACACTATGTTTCCGAAGGAAGGGAGGAAAAGGAGGGGAGGTGAAGGAAAATTAGGTGGGGAGGGGAGATTTGGAGGTTAAGGAAATAGGAAGGAAAATTGTGTTTTATGAAGGAAAGTGAGAAGGAAAATGTGTATTGGGAATTATGATGGATATGTTATTGGGTATATAATAGTAAAATAATTTGATTATATTGAGATTATTTTTATTGGTTATGAATTGTGAATTAAATTTGTACTTTTTTACTAATTTTGTTCATTATTAAAAATCAATTTGTACTTTCTTGCTAATTTGGTTCACGAGTAAAGAAAAATTTTTCCATTTAAAATACACTTCATTTAAAATATCGTTCGTTTTAACTCGAGTAAACATATAACTAGGAGTTTAATTAAAATTATAAAAACATTAATCAAATAATAATATTTTATTAGGTAATCCTAACAATTAGAGAGCTTACAATAAACAATAATGAATTTTTTTTTGCCTTATCATTACACCCACCGTGGTGTAGACAAAAAAGGAAAGAGAAAGAAGCAAGAGGAAAAAATTAATTACAATAAATGATGATAATTAATTATGTTTATACTTACATCTTTTTTATTGGGGTTAGACGTGAGTTGATCACTTTGTATTGGGGTGAAGAAAAGAAATAAAAGTAACGAAAAACAAAAAAAAGTACCCGCCCAACCCAGCTTTTCTTCCGATCTGGAGGACAGCTTTGAACAATATATTTTTTTGCCATTTTCCTCTCATAGCTACTGTTTCAGACATCAGACATAAAAAAACAAGAAAAAGTTCTTGAAAATGACATTTTCCTTCCACCATCTCCCCTCCCCTCCTTTTCCCTCCTATAAAAACACAGTGTAAGAATATTTCTAACACACTCTACTATCATCCGCACTCACATTTTAGCCGGCTCTACGTCGACCTTTCACAACAATAATGTGAGGTCTCAGTGCTCCTGTTCTGTTACTTCACTAGCATGTTTGGGAAGGTGGGTTTACTGGGTTTCACTCATTTCCCCCCCCTTTCTGGTTTTGGTTTCTTGGCAGGGACGGGAAAGGAGGAGGGTTGAAGCCGATGGACTCAGAGCAGCTGAGAGAGTATGGACACCAGATGGTTGATTTTATCGCTGACTACTACAAGAATATCGAAAATTACCCAGTTCTCAGCCAAGTTGAGGTTCGCTGCTCTAACAATGGCAGAATGCCCTCCTTTTTTTTTATAAATAATTTCCTGCTGTAGTTTTCGTAGTTTCGAGTAACTGGGGGTCATTGGATGATTGCT